ATTTGTTGAACATATGCAAATATCTCTTAAGCCAACTGGGTGAATTTGATAGGAGGACATTATATTCAATAATTTCAAGAAAAACTACTCAAAAAAGTTTGTTTTGTCTGCTTTAAGAACTGAAACTCAAGCTCACGCTGAATATGACTTTACATGTATTTGTTTTTTATATTAGCATTTATAATTAGATTAATAGTGGTCTTTATTTGTGTTCCAAACATCTTTCCAGTTTAAATGGATTAGTAAGACTCACTATCTCACCACAAGTGTTCTACCTCAACCTCACTGAGGAGTTCTGTGTGAGAAGGGTATGTGTAGCTAAGGAATTTATTGTGTCTCCTTCTGCAATCACAAATGTATCTATGGAGCAATGCTGTGTGTCAGCACTGTGCTGTTAGTCATGCCAGAAATGACAACAGTACTTGTTTCTTTTCAGTAAGAGTAGTTTGAGGCTTGACATGTAGCAGAGACATTTTGGTGCATAAATGAATAGTATTCTTCTCCAAACTTTCTCACCAAAACCTTTTGAGAGTTTTTTTTGTGTGCCATACTTCAATTGCTCTTATTATTCTTTGCTCCATCACTTTATGTACAGATTACAGCATTAAATTATGGTAAAGAAATTTCTTTTATTAGCATAAGCAATTTGATATATCTATGGTAGCCAATGTATGATTAATCTTAAGTAAAAACAAAAGAAAAATGCTGTAGAAACTCTGGCAGCATCTGTGAAGAGAGAAAATGAGTTAAAATTCTGAATCTGATATGTCTAATCTTATATAACTTTAGAAGGAGTGTTATGGAAAACATTAAGTTTTATAAATAGCATTCCCAAACTTCTTTTGGAATACACAACAATTTGCAAACGAGTTTAATTTTAAACTCAGGCTAGTTGGTCTAAGCTTTCAGATGTTGATTTGTAATTACAAAGGAAAGAAAGAAAGCAGTACTCAGAGGGGACCTAGATTACAATAAAACAGAGGAATTAATTTTAAAAAAGTTGCAAAGGAGAGGTGTGAATTACTTCCCCAGAGCATTGTGCTGCACTCCCACCTCATTCATGGAGGTAAAATAATGGATGAAGCAGCTGAAGATAGCTGGATCTTGAATACTGCCATGAAGAATTGTCCTGGAGCTGTGAATATTGGTCTCAATCTTACTCACAATCACCTTCCCTGTTTTCCCAAGTCATCAAGAAATTGTGCAATTTACAGCCGGGAGGTCCCATTATCTGCTAATGACATTAATTAGCTGCTTATTTAGTTAGTTGACTTTAGTTTGTTCATTTACAAGTGTGTCATTGCATGGCTGAACAGATCGATTAAAAATAATTTACATTGGCCACTTAATAAACAAATAGATTAATATTTTGTATGTGGCAACCAGAAAGCAACATGCAATGTACATTTTTTTGGTGCATATATTAAGCTTTGCTACTGACCATAGACTGACCTTTAATGTTAAGGGAACATGGACATAATGTCAAGCCTTTGCTATCATTAAATGCAAATAACCATCTTGGAGCATTGAAAATTAGAATACATATCAGACTTGCATTATATAATTATAATGTAACTGTTATAAGATCATTAATATTGATCTCCAGTTATATAAGCTCAATCTTGTGTAAGGAATGATTTGGGAGCAATAATGGAAGGAAGAATAAATTTAAAAATTCACTCTTGGAATTGTGACTTTGAAAAAATCTAATATTCTCTGCCATTCCTCTTCTCATGAAGGCAGTGACTCATAGGGGTCTATGAAAAGTAATGGTTATCCAATCAATTGCTATTTACCAAGTGTCAGCATACTACCAGGAGAGTTGGTAAATTGTTGGACTGTAAGAGACTATCACAGCAAAGACTGCTCAGATATATGAACTTGCAGAATTGAATGGCACAATTTTTAAAGGATCGCAGAAGCAGGGAGACCTGAGTGTATACATATAAAAAAGTCTTTGATGGTGAGGAAAAGTTGAAATGGTTATTTAGCAGGAGAGGTGATCCTTAGCTTTTTTAATTGGTGCATTTAACCCAAACATAAGGGAATTGTACAAAACCTTTTTCAAAAACTGGTTAAGAATCCACTGGAAGACTGTTCAATTCAATACATTAGGGAGATGCCAATGTCAGAGAGAAATTATGCGAGGGATTTATAGGAATGACATCAGAAGTGATGTGTAGAAACTGAAGAGGCTGGGTTGATCTCCTTATAACACAATCTTTAACAAGAGATTGGGTATAACTGTTAACAAAAAAACTGTAAAGAGTATTGATAGAGTGAGCAATGAGAAATAGTTTTACAGAAGGGTTGATAGCCAGAAGACAGGGTTTTAAGACCACTGGCAAAAGAACCAAAGATGATTTTTTTTTTCACAAAGCTATATATTGTGATCTGAAATGGACTACCTGAAAGCACAAGAACATAAGAAACACCAGCAGGAGTGGATCATCTGGTCCATCGAGCCTGCTCCACCATTCAATAAGATCATGGCTGATCTTTTGGTGAACTCAGGTCCGCGCACCTCCCACTCATGATAACTCTTAATTCTTTTACTGTCCAAAAATCTGTCTAGTTTCACTGGTAACTTTTAGAAGGTTAATCTGTAACTACTTGAAGGGAAAATTAATTATGGGCTCTTGCAGAAAAGCAGGAATAGGATAGCCCGACAAAACGGTCAGCTCATCTTTCTATGTTCTATGTTGTATCATTCTGTGAATAGATAGTCCTTTAGCTCCAATGATAATGTTGCTTGGTGGTTGGGCAAATCAGCAATTTGGGTTCAGTCTTCAATATGGCATTATCATTAACCACTGTTGTTCAGCTATGCTCGAATATACTGTATACTATATGGTGCTTCATATTTTACACAAACACAAAATGACATGGAGTAATAGCGAAAAAAGGGAAACAAAGCGGAGGCGGTGGAGTTTTCATTCGCAAACACAAGGGAATACATCATTTGTGGGGATTATTAGAGATGCCATGCCAACACTTTTAAAATTTAAATTCGTGCTAAACTGAGTAATAATTCAACAGACAAAAACAAAAATTGCTGGAGAAATTCGGCAGGTCCGGCAGCATCTGTGCAGAGAATAAAAAGTGAAGTAGGGTCCCTGGTCTCGAAACGTTAACTCTTTTTCTCTCTCTATAGATGCTGCCTGATCTGTTGGGGTTTTCTAGCAATTTGTGTTCTAATTTCAGATTTCCGGCATCTTCACTGTATTTTTTAACTTCAGTGAATAACTGCAGATTTTAGCATAATCTGCAGAACACAAAGTAGGGCATCCAGCCGAAATCTGAACATTTTGTCTTCCTGCAAAAGCGCGATTATTTCCAGATTTCCAGCACCCACAGTGTGATGCTGTTGTATAGTGATACAGACAGCTGAGAATTGGCTTCAATATCTGACAGAGACAGACACATCGGCGCCCCTTTTGAATTCTATTGAAATTAAGACGGTTATAAATGTAAAACCAATTAGTAGCGACCGATGGCAACGATAGCAAGCGTGATCCTTCGGTTCACCGATTTCTCTTTGAGATAAACTGGCGGAGGTAATTAAATAGTGTGTAAAACCAGCGTCCCCAGAACAGGTGGATGGGGTTGGTTTGTCACAGCAAAATGGAAAAATGCACATTGGGTTGTGTGAGCCGGGTGGAACTATGAGAGCGAATCTGAGACCCTGTATGGGAGTGTGAATCTGAGACCCTGTATGGGAGCGTGAATCTGAGACCCTGCATGGGAGTGTGAATCTGAGACCCTGTATGGGAGTGTGAATCTGAGACCCTGTACGGGAATGTGAATCTGAGACACTGTATGGGTGTGTGAATCTGAGACTCTGTATGGGAATGTGAATCCAGTCTCTGCATGTGAGTGTGAACCTGAGACCCTGTGTGGGAGTGTGAATCTGAGACCCTGTATGAGAATGTGAATCTGAGACCCTGTATGGGAGTGTGAATCTGAGACTCTGTATGGGAGCGTGAATCCAGTCTCTGCATGGGAGTGTGAATCTGAGATTCTGTATGGGAGTGTGAATCTGAGACCCTGTATGGGAGGGTGAATCTGAGATCCTGTATGGGAGTGTGAATCTGAGACTCTGTATTGGAGTGTGAATCTGAGACCCTGTATGGGAGTGTGAATCTGAGATCCTGTATGGGAGTGTGAATCTGAGACCCTGCATGGGAGGGTGGATCCAGCCTCTGTATGGGAGTGTGAATCTGAGACTCTGTATGGGAGTGTGAATC